CTCTTCAGTTGTCAAGAATACCAACCATTTATTTTATCTTTTTTATCTTATGCAAAAAAATAAGTGCTGATTAGGCATACACTTTGTACCGATAATACTGAATCAAAAGTACATGTTGCGCGTTTTGCGTTTTCTCAACTACTCATACGTACAGTTGTTGCATATATTTGTCCTTTCATATATCATACTGTATGATTATTTTTCGAAACAAAAATGTTCTCAGTACTGACTGGTGTCGTTTTATTAGCCTGTATTATCTACACTTTGGAAAATTATATTACAAAATTCGCAAATGGAATACCAAATGAACGATTCACATTGAAAGATATTATCATGTTTATTTTACTAGCATGTGCATTTATTGTGGGTGTTTTAACAGTATCTGGTGTTATATAGAATATAGTTTGAATTCAAAACAATACTCTCGAATGATCTTTGATATTTTTTTTCATCATTATGACTAATAAAGATGGAATAATAGCGAATAGACTTATAAAAAGAAAAGGTTACATTGAAGCATCTGACGCCTAATTATGCATGTCATTATCCTTATCGTTTATTTTTCAAACCACGTTAATCCAAATATGATATAAAAACCATCAACAAGGAAAAGACAACTGAACTTTTAGCAAATAAAAAACAGTGAGCTGTGCATAATATACCACATAAAATAATTTTAGGCCACCGAAATCATCAAAACACAGCGTTCAATACAGCATTCCTGGTGGTAAACGCCGTTGTTCGAGTTGGCATCAGACTTCGGTTGATTGTTACTTTGAGAAAAAATTTTGAGACTATGAAATGTGTCGATACAATCTTGCGACAACAAGTAGAATTTTGAATTACTACCGATCAGATGTTCACAACCAAAATGATAACAAAACAATTCAGGGAGTTCAACAAGCATCTACAATTCGTTTTGGGGACTTAAAAAGAGAAAAGAAGCGGACGGGGTTGAAGTCAAACTAGCCTACATCTTAGAGAGTATTTGCATTTTGAAAGAGGGAAGTTCTTTTAAAAATGTACCTTCAACATAGACTTTATCTGAATAAAGCAAAAACTTTAAAACCTGTAGCTCTTGACTAGCTGTTTCTATAATCATTTGAAAATTTTTTAAATCTTATCTGCTAGTCCTCCGACTAGAATCCTCTAAAGCCTTTTCAGCAGAATGGTTTCTGCTGCTGTTTGGCCGCTTTGGAATGATGTACAGTTCAAGCCGTTATTGTAAATATGCCCCAAACAACTGCAGAACTGCATAGAGTGCACCGTAGTCAGAGTCAACCTGGACACTTAATACTTGAAAAACGGCGTTTCGAGCTGATGCGACACCGATTAGCAATAAACAATTTTTTCGGAAAAAATTTAACCTTTAACAATGTTTCCAATCGGCTATTGTCTGCTCCAAAAGTGTATGCGCCGTATATTGAAAGGAATAAAACCTTTTAGACTCTATTTTCAGATTAGCCATTCGATAGAGCTTAAAAAACTGACATTAGACACACTGAGATCTGATAGTTGGCATCGAATACCAGCTTATAATTTTGTACTTTTCCGTTTTGAAGAGCCAGATTATAGTATTTTTTCCCTTCCTTTTGAAAGGGAAAGAATCATATACTTCTGCTCATTCACGCCCTCTATAAAAGATAACGTTAATCATCCTCAATAAAATATAATCATGCGAAAAACAGTTTATCTCTAGCTTTGACTGATACATCTGTCATGTTTCCTTTTTCTCAGAATACTTAATGTTGACGGCTCACTAAGTAATTATTCAAGCTGAACTAATGAAATGGCAGCGCCAGTTATAGTAAATTCATTCGATTTTTTCTGATCTGTCGAATCTAAAATTCGGTTCTATTGTAAAGAACAAGAAAAAACGGGTGAATAAGACACAAATACATGATAATTCCAGAGGAAAATGTTTCACAAACAAACCCATACATATTTCAACATATGGGAAGAGTGATATAATAAGCTGAAACATTTTGTACGATATAAAGAAACCTTATCTATCAATATTACGCAACTAAAATTCTTCCCTAGGTGTCTTTTTAAGGGGTGTGATCTGACTCGTATACACCCACAGAAAAAAATAATCAAAATTCATGCAGGATCCCGCGGGTTATCGGTATTAAAATATCTGGCGATGTTTCTTACCTTTACGTAGGATTTTCATACCGTCAGCCGTGACAGAACCCTGCATAGTTTACGTAGGGTCAGCATGGAAAAAATCCTGCGTAAAGGTAAGAAACATTAGCATGGCCCCTGCGCAAGGATGACACGCAAAATCGTGAAGCGTTCCAGGAACATCGCAAGACTTTTGGACTTATTCAATCTACAAGTTTTATCCTACAAGACCTGGCAGAATTTTGTTGGTTGAAAGAAAAACGATTTTGTTCTCCATGTCTATCCAGCAATCTTTTCCCACCAATGTCTGTCCAGGGTGACCGTGGTGGAACTTGCCTGTATTTTTTTTTTTTGGAAAGTTAAGTACTTTTTTCTTATAAAGTTATAAAAACTTTTCTCGTGTCCAATAAACTTCTAGAAAACGTATACCTTAATATTTTGACTTTAACACGCATTTTCATGTGTACAAAATCAAACTATTAATAGATAACTGAAAAGATCTTTTTATGTCAGGAATATTCTATTGTTTTCATCAATAAGAAATTAAAGTCATTAGAATGATCCCGCTATTGTGAGAAAAAGATGTATAGCAAAGCAGAGATATTAGACTATTCTAAATTTCTGTAGCTTTGAATGGTATCCTTTCGTTTCGTCCCGTATTTTTTAATTAGCTCTTGTTTCGTCTCATTTCGTTCCATACTTGTTTCGTCGGTTTAGCCTCGATTCGTCCCTAATTGATTTCTCAATTCGTCCCTCGTAAATTTTTAATCTTAATACGCCCCTCCCCCCCTTCTCATTTCGTCTCTTAAAATTTTTTTCTTGATTCCTCCCTTCTCGATTCGTCCCTCAAATGCACGCATAGGCTAAATTATTCGGCTTTTAAATTTATTTAATAAACTTTGTAAAAAGACCAACACTAATAATTAACAATATATAAACAGCTACAATTTAGAGCCGTTTAGGATGCTTAAAAAAAGAAGCTCACTATCCTATATAAACTTACGGATATTTAGTAGAGGAGTACACGAAAATTCTTCGAAACATAAAAAGGCAGATCGTTGGTTTCTTGGTGCCATTGGTTTAGCATTAATACCAGCCGACATTGTTGAAAGTACTTGGACGGATATTATGGATTTATATACCTCAGATGATGTTAATGCTACTGGGTTCAATGATTATTTAGTTAAACCTATGTAGATATTAGTTTATATGGGATTAATATATGGAATGTGCATGATGCAATAATTAATGATTTACCAAGGATAAACAATCATGTTGAGGGGTGCAATAGTCGTTTGGAAAGTAATTTTCCAAAACAGCCACACATTTATCATTTTATTGAATTGTTACGTGATGAATATTTATATCAACATTATAGAGCTGAAGAATCAGATATGCAAATAAGGAAACGAAAAAAATTATACATGAAGAACACATAAAAGGAACAATAACAAATGCTGAACTGGCTTTTAAATGTGGTAGAGCTGTTAAAACAACCCCAATTAAAACATGATATCTTCAGGAATAATTGATTTGTCTTGTGGGCATAATGGTATTGTAGCTGTTTATATATTGTTAATTATTAGTGTTGGTCTTTTTACAAAGTTTATTAAATAAATTTAAAAGCCGAATAATTTAGCCTATACGTGCATTTGAGGAACGAATCAAGAAAAAAATTTTAAGGGACGAAATGAGAAGGGGCGAATTAAGAATAAAAATTTACGAGGGACGAATTGAGAGGACACCGTTTCGTCCCGTTATTTTCGAGCATTCTATTCATTTTATGACTATTCATTTTTTTCTATCAACTGTATACTAATGAATATTAATATAATTCATTAAGATAACTTAAGAAACTGATACATGGCATATTCATACGTTGATACGTATCAATATGGACTAGTTCGTTTTTCTAAACCTGCAGCCAGTTTAATTTTAACAAAGTCATTTTGCATACTCCATGATAGAATTTAACTGTTTAATGGAAAAGCTTTTGCAAAGAAACAATATTCATGAATGAAATAATGGCAAGGATCTGACGAAACGAGAGGGTGCAAGTTTACAACAATTGTGATAATAAATTGAAGGAATATTACACGATATGAAAATGGTACTTTGTCTGGAACTGAACTTGCAACTAAATCTGGCAAATGTGTTAATACTGTAAAATTACCTGTTTTTTAACTCGTAAATAAAATAATAAATGTAACGTATAAAGACATCTATCAATTTCTTACATTATCTTAATGAATTATATTAATATTGATTAGTATACAGTTGATAGAAAAAAAATGAATAGTTAGAATGCTAGAAAATAAACCGGACGAAACGAGTGTGGGACTAAATGAGAATAATCCCTTTGAATACTCTGTTGAATGGTATATAATTTGAAAACTTCGGTTTCATTGAAAAGTTATAGTTAAAAATATTAAGGTATACATTTTCCGGAAGTTTATTCAACACGAGAAAGGCTTTTATGACTTTACAAGAAAAGATGCAAAAGTACTTAACTTTCCAAAAATAAAAAATACAGACAAGTTCTTCCACGGTCACCCAGCACAGACACTGATGAGAAAAGATTGCAGAATGCCGCAAGACAGGCATGGCGGACAAAATCCACAAGCTACTACTTTTTATCATCACGAAAAAATCCTACGGACCTTGAGGGGTTTGTGTATTAAGATACCTTGTACTACTTATTACAAGTGATAACAGAAAGGAAAAAATTTCGCAGGCTATGCAAAGTGAACGATTTGCGAGATATATCGCATGAACGCATGTAAAAGTTCCTGCATGGTGTGCCTAGAGAAGAATCCTCCAGGATCCTGTAGAAAAGAAACTTGAAAAGTGAGTGTGTCAAAGGGTCCTGTTCAATGATACTCACCAACTTGCAGGAAAGCTTTCGGCGAGGTAACGTGATGTAAAAACCTGCACTATATATCCAACATTCACAGGATTTTTTCAAATTCCTGCGTGTCAACGCAGGAATTCGGAAATTTTTTTCAGTGGGCAGTAGTAATTTGATACCAGTGTTTAGAAAAAAATCGAATGTGTGAATTCTCCACATTCAATTACGAGCATATAAATTTCAATATCATGACTATTTACCTGTGCAAAGTATTTATTTTTAATTCATGGTTGCTTGGCGAACAGCCATAGTAAAAAATGGCTCTAAAAGTTGGATCTTTTAGTAAAACAAAATTATATTCAGTGATTAAAATAAAGTATTCGAGATTCTTAAAATATGATCTTTCATTGTCGTCATTATACACGATTTCGCTTACTATATATTTCCTCTGTTTCAAATACACGGAATTTTTAGGTCAGAAACACAAAATTCACTCAAAAACCACCGCTTGGTGAAAGAACAAAATTTCGTAACATTCTGTAAAGTTTTTTGGTATAGATCTCTTCTCTGTTATGCAGTAAAATTGCTCAAATGATTTAAAACATTTCGGCTACATCATTCTTGACGTTTTTGCGAAAATTTGGATAAAATGGTTTGGATTTCCTGAATGGATTTGGTTATCCTTGTATATTTTTTCCAGTGTCTGCTATATGGGAATGTGCAATATCTCCATTATGCTCCACAGGATTCAGATAAAAATATAAAAAGATGAATCTCAACGGCTGGCAAATAGTGACTGGAGATTGACTAGGGTTTAATCAAGTCTTGTGTAATCGTTATTACATAGAAATCGCCCACGTCTCTTCCCCTTATACAACATCAATTTCTGTGGTAGAAAATACTGTTATCTGGTAGACTCTGTGATCATCATTGTAGTTAATGTACATTGATTTTAGATTTGCTCTATAATTATGCTTTCAATCAAACATGTATTTGGTTTTCGAACAAATGCTCCGAATTGTGTTGAATATGTTGATGAGCATTGTTATTTATATCCGGCTAGTCGACATATTATAATCTACAACACTGATTACAAATCACAACGGTTAATTTATTATGGAGAAGATGTACAAAATAAGTAGCTCACTACAGTACTGCAACCCGTTTCAAGCCTTTTTTCAGCCATCAAATCGCTCTCATCGACTTTTCTCGTTTATTCTTCTATCGCCGAGAAAATTTGCTGTAGAATAAAAGAAACCTGACAACCTATACATAATATAAGAGCACTTGTATTGTCCAAGTGTCCAAGCGAATCAGCGAGCGTTTACGACATAAAAAACGTTTTTGACGCGCGCGACGGATTCAAGTTAAATTTGCGGATTCTACTAAACACCGGTAGCTCTTCTATGTAGCATTTTTCCATGCAATGTAGAATCGTCTGGAGTGTGCTACATTTCATCCATTTCATACTCCAACTACTCTGATCTAGCAATGGAACATTTTCAGTTCAATAACTAATGAAGACTTAATCAAACAGTGGGACATATCAGGAGAAGGCAAATAGGAAAAGTTTCAATGCTTTTTAGAATATTTCATCACTATGAGTCTGTCAATCTATTATTTCAGGTTTGGAAATCTTAGCTGTTAGTTCTAACAAACAATTGTTGGCGGTTGGTTTAAGTTTCCAAGAGAAATGTCGAATAGCGATCTATGAGATAGCCACAATTAAACGTCGTAAAACTCTTATCAGTCGAGCACAATCTCATCATCTTGTATCGATGAAATTCTCATATGACAGCAAATATTTATTGACCCTTTATGGATCACCTGATTATCTTCTCGTCTGTTGGTCAATAGAAAAATTTAAACTAATTGCAAGTACAACGTTGAATCTTTTACACGTCGATTTGTCCAATGAACCGTTGAATTTACAGGTAGAGATTGATAAAAGTACACTGAACTATTAAAACTGATATATGTTTTTCTTTAATAGACCTCATTTAATCCAAATGATTCATCAAGCATCGTTATAACGGGTAACCATATTTTTCGTCGTCATCGCATTGTTGATGGCCGATTTAAATCTGTTCCATCACAAAAACATGAAATGGGCAATTTTAAATGTCATTGTTGGTTGAATAATACGCACATTTTAGTTGCATTAGATCCCGGCGTATTGTGGATAGTGAAACACGGTGATATTGTGCGGAAATATAATGTGTAAGTAACAAGTCTCCCTATAAGTAAGGGAGACAGCCAAAAATTGCATCAAAATAAGGTTTGATGCGATAGTTTTCAATTAATGTTTGTCAGCAGAACTACCCTCGCCAAGTCGCTCATTGAATAGTTATGCTCTCCTAAACAAGGACTAAACAGGCAGCAAGATAATGAAAGATTTTATAAGAGAAACTATGTGAAAGAAAACGGTGAATATTTTTGTGTTCTGTTCTTTGTCTTTCCTCCAACAAGAAAGAAAGAAATATAGATGATTTCTTATTTTTTGTCTCCCAAGGTTCTTGCTTCTTGACAGTTTAACCATATTGTTAAGTAGTTCACATATATTTCTATCTCAATATCCTTGATGAGAATTTCTGACGTATGAATCCTGCCACGAATCGATATTACCTAAAATCACTGGACTCTAGTTTCTGACAGAAACTAAAACATATTAAAGTAATAATCTTATTTGTACAAGACAAATTCCTTCAAGACAAGTTTAGAGACTCTTGTCTGAGATGGTAAGCGACAAGAATCTTATAAGAACATCGGCAAGAAAGTGCGCTCGTGTAATGAGAATAATATATTTTCTAGTTGTTCCGTTTGTTCATCATTCTCAAAAAATAAAGATTTCTGCATCCGGATTTTCGGTCTTCCACATTAATTGCCGTACTCCAGGCTTTTCACAAGTGGCTGGCTGCTCGGTTTTACGAGAGTTGTTGATAACATGTGAGAATAGTGGAGAGCTGCACAATTGTTCCCCATTTTCGTTCTTTGAACTTTTCGGAATTAATCCCTTAATTTCTATTTGATGCAATAGATTAGTGGTAGGGAATAAGCATAATTTTTATTTTTAGTATTCAAACGCTAGATTTGTTTGCACATTCGTTTCGTCACCATTCTCGTCCTATTGTACATGATGTTTCTCCACTAAAAAGTCGTCCACCATCTGCAGAACGTCAGACATCTGAAACGTTAGATACTAGCGGTGGCATTAACGTCATGTCAAAAAATAATAACACAGTTTATTGTTTATTGCCGTATACACGTGGCGTGTTTATATCGATAGGAGCCCGACGAGTTTTCATGTACGAAAGAGCAGAACACAGTGATCAACTGACATATTTAAGAGAATTATTGTTACCCACCATACCAACAGCGAACTTGAAATTATCAGTTACTCCTTTTCTCAAATCACAACTAACTACCCACGAAGTGCCATCTTTGCAGTATTCAACATCCGATGAACAAATCAGCTCTCTAGCATTAAGTCCAAACGAAGAAACGTTGTTAGCAGCAACAAATTATAATCAATTGTATGAAATATCATTTTCAAAAGTCGACTATACGAAAGTTAGTTGTGTACATCAATCGTTATAAAAGACTTTTGAATCATTGCTGGTTTTAGAAAGAGGCGTGTTATTTCACATATGCGTTGGATGGTGCACATAAAGGTCCAATATTGGCTGTTTGTGCGTGTATTCGAAAACCAGTCATTGTCACATTAGGTTCAGATCGATACTTAAAAATATGGAATTTACAAACAAAGTTTGTTTATTCAAATTCTCTATCTTGTCTTATCAGTAAAAGTTTATTAAGTTTCAGTACTCAAGAATTAAAGCATTTATTCACAGAGAATCCCATTTCACTAAGTTTACATCCAACTGGTGTATTTATAGTTGTCTCATTTACAATGAATGTTTGTATCTACGGCTATACAATCGATGGTTTATCGATGTTTTATGATTTTCAAGTTGTCAACGCAAAATGTGTATGTTTTAATGCAAAAGTGGTATTGAAGTTGTTATAGTGTAATTTTAGATTGAATACAGTAATGAAGGTCATTTATTAGCGATTGCGCATGGAAACACTCTAGAATTACATCAACATTCAGATTACGATGTTATCACCTATCTAAGAGGAAATACAGCAATGGTAAACACAACTTATGAACGGAAGAGTTTTATGACACCAAAAAGTTTGGGTTTTTTTGAGTTACTAATGGTTCGTTGGACAATTGATGATGCCTATATACTCACACTTGGCTTCGATGATATTGTTGTCAAATGGGATCCATATACTCAAACACGAGTCACCGAATATCAACTAAGATCATACACATTTAAAGACTTGATAATGACTATTGACAACAAAATGGGGTACGCTGTAACCAGTGACCAAAAAATCANTTTTATGACACCAAAAAGTTTGGGTTTTTTTGAGTTACTAATGGTTCGTTGGACAATTGATGATGCCTATATACTCACACTTGGCTTCGATGATATTGTTGTCAAATGGGATCCATATACTCAAACACGAGTCACCGAATATCAACTAAGATCATACACATTTAAAGACTTGATAATGACTATTGACAACAAAATGGGGTACGCTGTAACCAGTGACCAAAAAATCAAAGAATTTACATTAATGGCGGTAGGTGAAAACGTCCTTTCTAGTGTTCATTCTCCGATTTACTCTCTTTGCACAGGATCACACAGAGATTCAGTTGTCAGATGTACCAAATACAATTCTTTTTTTTAGAATATTCGAGATTTAACATTTCCATGTGATGATTTTGTCCCTACTACGTTAGCAGTTAGTCGTACAGCTCGTGCGTTGCTCATTGGTACTCATAAAGGCTATATTTATTGTGCTCGAATGTTACAGCATCAACCAGCTGTTATAACATCACAAGATTTTACTCAAATTAGCGCACATTTCGGATCCGTTAATAAAGTAAAAGGCTCAAATAGAAACATTGACTAATTATTGATAATAAAGGAATAGAATTGGTTTAGGTTGTTGTTTCCTTTTCGAATCAAATGGCTGCATCAGCTGGTGAAGATGGAAATTTAGTATTGTACAACTATAATGAATATCAACAGAAAAAAGAATTTAAGATTGTATTTCGAGATGAAATATTGGCACAAGAAACAGTACTGAAAGAACAGGTAGGTACTAGGTATGGAGCAGTTTTTAACTGGTATTGGAGCATCTGGGAGAATACATCAGTTATCACAATTCGCTCAGAGCCGTGAAACATCTCATTTTGTAGAAAAACTGTTCGAACAGTTCTTTTTTCGGGGTTTAATGTATTTTTGAATGCTCTAAGTTTTCTTAGAAATGATTTTGGAAATTTTTTAACAAATGCATTTTGTAGAGTAAACATTTTTCTACAAAATGAGATGTTTCACGGCTCTGAGCGAATGGTGATAACTGATGTATAGCAATTCTCAGAGATGCCCTAACACCAGTTAAAAACTGGTGCATACCTAGTAGGTACATCAATAGTTTGTGCATATAAATAAGAAAAGTTTAAAAACTTTAATTTATTTGAAATTAAAGCTTCAGATAGTTGTTTTTCAATAACTCACATTTTATTGTGGAGGTGAGTGTCACATTTTGCGAATGAAAGAATAAATTTTTCTCTTTTCCTTTTTCAGAGAGAATGATCTCCAAATTATTTATAATAGATTCTTTAGCATCAATAGTTAATATGTTGTCTAGAGACTAGATAGATTACCAATGAAGGGAAACTATGGAAAGCGGTCTTTATTTTTCCTAACAGCTTTTGTTGTGTAGAGTCAACAATTATCTCTGGCATTGCAACGTGAATACGATACGACTAAACAATATCAACAAGAATTAGAGACAAAAGAGCATGAGTACATATCACATTTGAAAGAATTAGATGCACATTATCAAGAGAATATTAAAATAATGCAAGAAAAAGTAAAAAGTTTGAAAGAAGAGCAAGCGAAACTTATTGAACAAAACGCAGAAGAATTGGAACAAACAGCTGAGGAATACGAACTGAGATTGAAAGAATATGGTGAGTTCTTCGATGCATATAGGAAACATTGGAGAAAGAATAGCATCTGTTTTTGTTGTTGTTGTTTATTAAGCTGCATCGAAAAATGAGAATTTAAAAATAATATCGACTCGTGAGCAATTGCTAATTGGCCAAATAAAAAACTTGGCTAATGTTGAACACGAACAAATGGAATTGGCTACCGATTCGTATGATCGAAGTTTAGAACGAACACATTTATTATATCAACAAAAGATGGATCAAATCCGACATAAGTTTGAATCAGTAACTGCAATTCATGATAAATATTTTCTCTACTTTTTTTTGGTCATTTGCTATCTTTCCCAGGAACGTCTTAGTATTAGCGAGCGTATAGACGAGTTACAAGAAGTAAAAGTTTTACTTGATGAAGATAGTGAAAAGCAATTAGTTGAATTATCCGAACATTATGAGAAAACACTGAAAAGTCTGTTAAATAAAACACAAGAAATGGAAAACGAATCAGTCATGTTAGAGGCGAGAGTAAGTCATGTAAAGTATAGAGCGAAATTGTATTGATAAGGTCTCTGTTCGTTGAATTTCGTCAATGGTATCCATTGAACTGCAAACCTTTGTCATTTTTAAATTTTCTTTTTCTATTTTAGCTTCAACAATTAGAAGAAGAATCGCATCGTTTTGAAGAACAATTGAAAGTGTTGGAAAGTGAACGTGAAGAACTCATTCAATCGATTCGACAAATAGATACAGACATTAGCACAGCTAGAGAAACAGTATCACAACGAGATTTGGTCATACAAGAAAAGGCATGTTAGATCGTGGAATATTGAATAGTGCAAGTTATTCTTTCACTATTTTTAGTTACAACGTATTGTCGAAATGGAACGTCGTCGAGAAGAGCGTAAGTCTTTCTCAGATACTTTGAAATTATTCCTGAAATAATCACTATTTTCAGTGGAAAAATTTGCTTATGTATTCAATTATAAAATAAGTGAATTAACAAGTCAAATTGGTCCACGTGAGCATGAAGTGAAACAATTATTAGAACAGTTTGATAATGTCAGCACTGAGTGACTATTCAAATATTGACTAAAACGGTAAATGCTAAATGCTTTAGATGGATGCTGAATATGATGTATTGAGTAAACAAAATGATACATACGGTATTCGGATTGGTGATCTGAAAGCAAGATTAAGAGCCACAGAAAAAGAATTGATGAACGAAACATCAACAGTAAGTATTTAGTATTACAGCTTTTCTAACGAAAGATATTTCTCAGTTGGCACTTTGTTGTTTACATACCAAACTCTCTGATATTTTGACACCAAGGTTAACTCTAATATTCTTTTTTTTGCCAAGATATCCTTGAACTTTGTATCATTTATAATGTACTTGATTTCTGATACACAAACAGAATCATTTTTATGAAGGATTTATTATCCGCTCATCTATCCTGTCTTGCAAGTAAATCTATACGCAGATCGATTGATTGATGATGGCTAAATATTTGTAGAAATTTTCTTCATTTTTCTACTGCTACTGGAGTTTTTTATGTTGACGAGTTGTTGAATTATATTGAAAGAATCCAGTTTTGGAGAAATATCGATAAGATACAGCCTTGCATCCATTCTCGTCTTAGTCGATCACATACAGTGACAAAAATCGTTGCATCACTAATTTTGATAATGCATGCTTTGGATCTAATCTATTTTGTGATCTGCATGGATTGAAAAAACGTCATTAGAACTCCATCCATCAACACTCGAGCGCTACCAGAAAAATGTCTTTGACAAAAAGTAAACACTTATTTTCGTAGATAAAGCTGTTTCTGTGCATATTCTAGCATCTTCTTGTTCTCTCACTTTTTATTTAATACAAGTTACTTTTCCGCATTTCTTTTCATACAAAAAAACACATACCGAAAGATCACTTGTCTACTCTGTAAACTTTCTTACAACATCTATCGAATAACATAAAAGTGGAACTTTTAACTATATTTTGATCTACACAGTAAAAGGTTGTGCATAACCCGATCCTATGATCGAATCAGATTTTGGAACTCTACTGTCCCAGCTATTTTGAAACGTTCTAGTGACTAATTTCCTTTTCAGATTCGTTTACTGAATCAAACGGCCACCAATATGAAAGAAGATTTTGAAATGTGCTGTCAGTCAACCGATCAGCCAAAAGTGTTAGTAGCTACTATAAGAAAATTATATGGAAAATATATTCTCAATAACGAAGTAAGTACTATGCACTCTCTCTCATTTCTTTCCTATCTAACACCTCATCTTTTCCTAATGTGAGGGTATTGACATGGCATTTGGGCAAATGAGTATTAACGATTGTGATCGTCAACGAGCATATTTCGAACGATCTCATATAAGATTACAACAAAAAGTCATAGAAGATAGTAAAAGTGAAAAGTTAGAAGAGAATAGACGAATACAAGTAAGTATCTTCTATGATATTTTGATTTTCTATGAGTGGAAGTGAACATTGGTTTATCATTGTCTGTGTATAGGAACAAATAAATATGATGCGTGAGATTAGTTCACATTGTTTGAAAGTTGCAGAAGCTGAACGTACTCTAGCTGATATAGAGATTGCTTATCATATTTCTGTTAAAACTAATGCACAAACACCACAAGAAATACTACAAACTTTGTCGGTGCAACAAGGCTCACATTTTGTTCAGCAAAAACAAACGGAATTAGATGGCATTTTAGAATTGCAACAAAAACGAATTGAACAATTAAGGGCATATGTTCTAAAAATAAATGCCGAAACATTCAGAGTTAGTAGAGATTGTGAAATTGATGTACTACATGCTTTATCATCGTCAGATGAAAATCCATCAATAGACAGAAGTCCAGCACAACAATCTATTCGTTAATTAAGTTATCCATCTCATTGTAATTATTATATTTCTTTCAAATGAATAGATAATCATGTATATTTCAAGATTTCACCGCTGTCTATTTTATAGACAAAACTTGAACAGCGCATCATTTTTTTATTAGATTAGTAAAGTTTTATGCAGTTTTATTCTTGCTACCTATTCATATGGACAACTACATTTCATGTCTCAATACATACTTGATCAAATTGAGGTATAGTAATAAATTATTACTAATAATATCGAAATATGTATCCAAGACATTGGCTAATTTTGTAACGTGGTCGTTTACAATTAACTTGCTGACAACATTGTAAATAGTAACATAAATTCGAATAATAGATTCTCATGCATTTACTCTTTCCACTAAATCAGAATTTATTAGCATTTTATCAGAAAATAAATGAAATGCTTCTGTCTCAAGTCGTTCACAGTGACTTAAATTTGTTAGGTGATTAACAGTCAATGAGAAAAGTATCATTATACAAAATCTGGTCTTCAAAACTGTCATAGGTTCGAAAGATATAGAGAAGAGGTATCTACTTTTAGCTGATACCATTTTTATTTGAAAATGAATCATTAATAATAAAATTATATTTAAAAAATTAGTCACTTTCTCGGTTACATATTCTGATATTATTAGTTGTGGCGGCGCGAAGGAGTTGGAGCAGGGGGGGACTGTAGTTCCAAAAATCGGAGTTCAAAACGTTTTCTGACAAGTTTGGTAAAGTAAAATAGACGATACAAAACTCGCCACTTTATTTATTTCGAATGTACTGTTGTATAATCAGTTACCATCACACTTACAGACACGAAGGAAACTGCAATTTTTGTTGTTCCTTCATATAGTGTATTCAAAAACGAAAAAATACAAAACAAAATACTAAATTTTACGACCACTTACATTTAGAATTTTTGATTAGTATTCTACTCGGCTAACTAATGATTCTAGTCTGGACTTGTCCATCTCTTGGAAGAAGATGTTCTATCTTGTTCGAGCTTTCTCCGATTCTGTGACATTTTTGGAGCAAAGATAGCTCGAAATTCAAGAAAACGGCAAATATGTGCGCAAAACCTGTAGAAGTGTGTCGAAATCTGAGTAAACTTACTCCATTTTTTCACAAAATTGGAGTAAATTTCCTGTACTTTTGGCTCAAATCGGAGGAACTTTCTGTCAAATTTTCTAAAAGCAGGAAAAGTGTACACTCCCGTCACACAAACGGTCGCGCCGCCACTGATTATTAGAAATACTTCATTATTACACGAGTACTTCACCTATTAAAGAAAGTTTTTTTCCCATAGACAAACTGTGCTGTGTAAGAGAATATTTTTACATGCGCTAGACAGTTTTGATATATGCACATACTTGAGGAATACTAGACTATGTGATGCACATGAAATATAGGTAAAGTAATAATTATCTTTCGACAACTAA